GTTCGTGCGTGTATCTGTGTGTTTAGATTTGTTTGTATAGATACAATACAAAACAAAATAATATATTATTGAGTAATTTGATTTTATTTGTCAGTGACTGAATAAATGATTGATAGAATGAATGAATGAATGATGAATGAATGAATGAGTGAGTGAGTGAGTGAGTGAGTGAATGAATGAATGAATGAATGAATGAATGAATGAATGAATGAATGAATGAATGAATGAATGAATGAATGAATGAACGAACGAATATTTGAATAAGAATGCATAAAAAAAATGAGTGAATGAATTTTATGTTTACATACATACTTCTGCATCTTTTTATCTTTATGGTTAATCCAATGGTTAATAATCCATTGGATTGAAATTTTTATTTCACGTAAACTAATAATTTATACAAAAATTGATGTAACTTGAAACTCGTTTTCAAAAAAAGCTAATATTCGCACTTTTTAAGCAATTTTTCAATTCAGAAATTTAATTTTTAAATTAATTTTTTCGTGATCTTATGTTTTCTATCAATTTTCAAATAGATCACAGTTGCTGAATTTGTATATCATCTCTTGTTATTAGTTAATTTTCAAGGCATTTTGTAGTTAAAATAGAATTAATGAGAAATATTTGAAAAAAAAACCGTTGTAAAGATTTTTCAAAAATGCTCCGCTAAAAAATTTTTTATTTTCGTACATTGAAATTTTTGCAAACGGATTCAATAAAAATTGTATAAACGTCAAATAGAAATAAAAAAATTATTAATTTATTGAAATGAAGAAAAAACGAATCACAGCGAATCACAAAAATTGCAACATGCATGTGTGTGCGTGTGGTGTAGTCTGCATGTGTGTGCGTGTGGCCGTCTACCTGGAAGAAGGAAAACTCTGCCCAAAAACACACATTCATAGAAAGGCTATGGGAGTAAACCCAAACAGTTGGCTACGAAGACAGTTCTGTTAATCAACTCAGTTTCTGCTCCGACTGAACTGCTGTCTCCATGCTATGTAATGTGTGTAATTTTGTAGTGTAAACAGTCTTATCAGCAGTTTAGTTAATGATAATGACTCGTGTTGAAAATTTTTAAGATTTTTTGATGGAGTGCACCCATTATAACCATTATGATTAATTCTCAAATAATTCCCAATTGATTTTTAATTAATAAAATATGGTTATAACTTTTTTGTTTAAATTTCGGTTAAAATTTTTTGATTAGCAATTATTATCATTTAAAAAGGTCTTATTACATTTTAAAAAATGGAATGTGAATTGTAATATAATTTGAAAATACAAAATATTTTTAATTTGTTTTTGCCAGTGTCCTAACAAAAATTTTTTTGTTCAATGGTATACTAAATTTGTTAAAAGACCTTTCTATAAGACTATTATTTACACAAACTTATCCTCATTATCCCCACCATCATCATTATCGTCATCTTAGCTCTCAGTCAATAATGACGTCATGATCATCATCAGAGCTATCAAAGGTACAAAATTTGGTATTTATATAAGTAGATTGCATAAAAATACGCGAAGCCCACTGTTTTACATCAACCTTTGCATGTCGTGTTTACCTTACATAGTTCATCAGTTGAAAGTTGCTTTATATTTTGACTAGATGATAAAAAATTTCTAAGATCTAAAAAAAATAATAGATAAGCAATGTTCGAAAAGTTGACGAGTGTGAGGTTGTTGTTGTTTTTTTGTTTGTATGCATATATGTTTGTATGTTTGTTTGTATGTATGTATGTATGTATGTATGTATGTATGTATGTATGTATGTATGTATGTATGTTAAAACCAAAACATGATGAGTGACACTGAACCGTCAAACATCAAGTAACAAATGGATTGTATGTATGCATGTATGCATGTATGTATATATGCATGTATGTATGCATGTATGTATGCATGTATGCATGTATGTATGTATGCATGTATGTATGCATGTATGCATGTATGCATGTATGCATGTATGCATGTATGCATGTATGTATGTATGTATGTATGTATGTATGTATGTATGTATGTATGTATGTATGTATGTATGTATGTATGTATGTATGTATGTATGTATGTATGTATGTATGTATGTATGTATGTATGTATGTATGCATGTGAGAACTCAGTTGAGCCAAATCTTCAAAAAGTCCTCAGAGGAGGAATCCCCGTCGACAGATGTTTCGGCCCTGACAACCTCCTTACATTCTCGGTGGACCGGGCCACGTTCGTTGATCACTCGAACGTTTCTCGATGACTGTTGATTTTTCATCAGTGTCGATCTGCTATTTATTTACCAAAATTCAGCTTTAAATTTCCATACGAAGTCGTATCACTGTAGCCATGGCTTGCTAAATCAGCAGACATTCCGTTTTATCTCTTTTCAGCCACAACCGGTACGAAGCTTGTTCTACGCTACTAATAACTTTCTTCTGGCATACTGTGTGCTTCCAGCCTGACGGTCCCAACTCTTTAAAAATTGCACACATCGACACTCGCACTGTTCCTCTCGCACCAGCCTCAACAGCGTCGAACCTGGTTTTGTATCCTTTCTGGTTTAACTCTTGAATCAGCTGTTCATACTTTGCAGTTTTGCCTACTGAGCTAAGTCATCTTCATTTTTTAATACGCGACGAACTCGATCAATAATGACCCGAAGTTACGCCGTACAAAGCGTAGTAGTGGCTGTTGTCTGTATTAAGTGATTCGTTTTAATCGTTTGAATTGATATTATTATTATTAGATAGGATTTTATAATTATTTCATTATTAATATTTGGTATTTGGAGTTAGAAAATAAAAGAATGTTCCCACTTTTATTATTATTGTTATTGAAAATTTTCAAAATAAAAAATTGATGGTGACGATGGTGAGGATGATGAGGACGAGACATAATAATTATAAGAAAAAAGGGTGTGGTGGTTATTACGATGATGATGATGACGATGATGATGTTGATGGTGATGCAGCTGATGATGATGATTAGGATACGTGTTAATAACAGTGACGATGATGATGCTAGTACTTCTACTACTACTACCACCACTACTACTACTGCTACTACTACTACTACCACTGCTTCTACTACTACTGCTGCTACACAACTACTAATACCACTATTACTTCTACTACAAAACTACTAATACTACTACTCTTACTACTGCAACAACTACCACTACTACAAATGATAATACAACACAATGATAATAATCGTGTTGATAATGTAGAAACGTATTGATAAAAAAAAGAACATCCTGAATATAAATTTAATAATTTTTTAAACCAATTTGCTCTGAAAGATTTTTGTCGTTGTGTCGTTGTGTTGATGTGTGTTGTTGTGTTTTGTTATGCAATGTTGTAGTGTGTTGTTCTGTTTTGTTTTGTGTTGTTGTAGATTGTAGTTTTTTCTATTAGTCCTAAAATTTAAAAAAATTTTTGTTTATTCTTGGTTTACGTTATTTTGTTAAAAATTTTAAACCATCGTGCTTCTTCATTTATTTATTTATCAATTCTGTATTTATCCATCCATCCATCCATCCATCCATCCATCCATCCATCCATCCATCCATCCATCCATCCATCCATCCATCCATCCATCCATCCATCCATCCATCCATCCATCCATCCATCCATCCATCCATCCATCCATCCATCCATATATCCATCCTTGCATTCATCTATTTACCCGTCCATTCGTCTAATTTAACTCATAAAATTATCCTTCCTAGTTTAATTAATTTTTTCATCCAGTTCAGTTTGACTAAAGCTCATGCACTGAAACTGCATTTTAATGGCAGCTATCGCTCATAATTAACCCATCACGATTCCATTTTTGTATTATATTTTCCATCTTTATTATCATATAAAATTCATATCATCATCATCCTCGTCATCATCATCACCATCGTCATCAACATCATTATCATAATCGCCATCTTCAACGTCAAATATAGTAGAAATACAGTTTTTGGTAACTTTTTAAAATATAAATTGAAACAATTATTTAAAACATTGAGGAAAATTATTTTCACACACATGCGAGTTCTCGTAGCCAGTCATCCTACAAATCGATCATGGATGAATACTTGCAAGAAATATTATGTGATGTAATATAATATTTCAAGACATGTTGTTGAAAATAATTTAAAATAAATATTTTTATTCGTTCTCTCATTCTCTCACTCTTTCTTTCTTTCTCTCTCTCTCTTTCTCTCTCTCTCTCTCATGATCATTTGTTTAATTTTTTTCTTGTTAACTTATTTCAGAGTTCATCTTTTATTTTTATATTTTTCACTTACTTTTATTCGAAATTTGTGAAGCGTTCATTCATTATTTGTTTAATACATAAATAATACACACACACACACACACACATACAAACACACACATACGCACACACATATACACACGCATGCATAGTTGGAAAGATAAAAAATAAATTAAATTTTATGCCTGTTCACATGCTCTAACTTACCCAATTTCTTTCAAGTTACCTTTGATGTGTCTACGTAGCTTGAAAATATTGAGATAGTGATGGAAACGTGAGGTAGAAAGAGAGAGAGAGAGAGAGAGAAAATGGCTGAAATGATAGACAGACCGGAAGACAGAAGGAGAGGCAGGTAGATAAAAAGATAAACAGGAAAAAGAAAGATGGAATAAAAGAAAAAAAGAGAGAAAGAAAGAAAAAGAATGTCGTTATCTTACCAGCCATCATCCATTAATGTTTTCCTGTTGGTGATGATATATTTTAGGCGCCATAATTGTATCATTGAAGTTTATTTCAAACTTGTAGAATGACTGCCTGCACTCTCTTATAATAAATACTTGATGAAATATTTTGATATGTTGAATAAATAAATTACATTGGCGGAGTTAGGAAACTGAGAGGAACCTGGCCTTCCCCGTCCGTTATCAGCATTCAACAATTCAGCCAATTACAATTATTTAATCAATACAATACAATATAATAATATAATATAACAGGATACAAATATAAACACCAGCAGAATGGCGAATCACTGTGAAGAAATTAAAACGCCGGCCTTCTGGAAAGCTCAATTTGCAGAATTCTTCGGAACGGCTATTTTAGTTTTTATTGGATGTGGATCAACCTTACCGCTAGAAGGGATGAAGCGACATGATCTGGAGATTTCTACGGCATTCGGTTTGGCCGTAGCAACGTCTGTTTGGATCTTTGGACACGTGAGTGGAGGCCACATCAACCCGGCTGTCACACTCGGGTTCATCATCGCAAGGAGGATTTCTGTCCTTAAAGGATTTTTCTATATGATCTTCCAATGTTTGGGTGCCCTGGCTGGAGCTGCTGTACTTTATGGTCAGTTCACACTCTAGCGTTGAACATCTTATGATTTCATTTACAACAATATGTCAGTACTCGCAGAATGTTTAAAATTTTTGAGTTTATATTTTAAGCAATGCCCCATTAAAAATATTATATTAGACATTTATTTTAATTCAAACTATTCAACGTTTTTCACGCGAAGCTTGCGTTGGGGTGAATGGCAAAAGTATCGGAGCCACAAGTATCATCAGTCGCATGGGTTTTATGGAAGCTCTTGGCGTGGAAACCATCATAACCTTCGTTCTCGTCATGACAGTGTTTGCTTCGTGTGACGTCAAACGCAGAGACCTTGGTGGATCCAGACCACTGACCATTGGCATCTCTGTCCTCATATGCCACCTGGCCGCTGTGCGTCTCTTTTCTCTTTTATTTTAATTGATGTTTTTTATTAATTAACGAAAGTTTTTGTAATTATTTTTCACAATTTGAATAAATAACTGTTTTTTTTTAATCTGAAATATAATTCCATACAAACAGGGATTGATTTTAATACTCTTCATTTTTTTTCCCTTTAACTTATAATATTTTTCAATAATGAAAGTTTTTGGTTTAAAATAGTATTTTTTATGTGTACGTAAATGAAAATGAGCCCTCTTAAAATGATGCTTTGACAGGCTGGCACCCCTTGCCACCATACTGAACATTTTACTCTCATAAAAGTTTCCACTTATTAAACTTTTCATAAACTCGTTTACAGATACGATCGACAGGTGCCTCAATGAACCCCGCCAGATCATTCGGCCCTGCTGTCATTGATAACTATTGGCAAAACCACTGGGTTAGCATATTTCAAATCATTTCATGAAATCAGGACAAGAAAGAAGTTTCGTGAAAAAAAATTTGAGAAAATTTTAATCTTGGTAACTGAAACCACAGGTCTACTGGGTGGGCCCGATGGTAGGTGGATTGATTGCGGCCACTGTGTACGAGGTCATCTTCGCCAAGGATGCTGATCCCAGAGACTTCTGCTGTTTCACCATTGAGAGGGAGCAGCCCGCCCAACACAAAGAATCAGAGAAAGAGAAGGAGAAGGAGATGCAGCCGGTCTAAAGAAGAGACCAGAGTATCGAATGCGATTCTTCTGAAGAATACTCTGTCGTTACGTCGGACATTGTTGACGCATTGAAGTTTTTATGAATTGAAATGTTTTTCATTGGTATTAACTCAGTATTAAATGCGTACGTAGTCTTATTTAAATTTTTGTAACCTTCAATATTTTAAATATTTCACTTTTTTATATTATTTTTTATCACTCAAGAGGCCATTCGTCCAATCATTTTTGTTGTCCAATTGTGATTTATTTCCATGTACTTTTATTCAGAGAGGAATGAAACACATAATGCAACTATGGTTTCAAAAAAACTAAGCATCATATTTTGTAACAGAAGTAATGAACTATCTCCCTTTATACCCATGTCGCTAATTATTTGATGGTATCCGTTAACATCAAACAGATATTATGCAAGTTTTGATGTTAATTAATATAATTGTAAAAATTATAATTAAATGTTAACTATAATAAAATTAATTATTTCCACACTTCAACCTAACTAGTCACTGAATGTTGTTCAACTGTAAAGGAAAACGCTCTGATTGTATAAGTGTCCAAATCAGTCAGAAATGTCACACGCTAAACAATTTGTAATGGATGTATAACCTTTCTAATTGTTTATAATTGAATTAATCATGATTGTTATAAAAACTTTAGAACTATTATATTATGTTTTAAATATTAAAATAAATTACATTTAATCATCCGTAATATCTCTTCAACTATTAAATTTGAAACTATTAAACACAACGTTCACCAAATGCCTCTGCTCGCGACTTATGGCGCGATTTTTTTCAAAAATTCATTTTTAAATTGTTTAAAAGTTATGCTCGATTCGAATATAAATCGTTATTCCATTGAGAAATTATTTTATTTCAATTGTTAAAATTTTACTGAATTGTGAAATTCGTACGTGAATGCTTGATGCGTCCTAATTTTTTGACCATTAGTGATTTAAAGGTAATTTTGTATATGTTAAGTTTTGTTGGAGCTCTTTACTTAGTTCTGCTTATCATTCAATTTTGTTTTAAGTTTTAGAAAAATATTTCATTAATGTTAATTTTATTTTTAATTGTCGTTTTTATTGTCTTTGTCAAGATTTTGGATACGTTGGTTATAAGAAAGCTGGTGTGAGAATGTATCTATACACACAAATTTTCATGATTTTGGTAGCAAATATGAAATGTAACGAATTTTATTGTCAAATTTGTCTATCCATCTAACTTTTTCTTCATTCATCAAACTCTCCATTCTTCCACTCAGATATTCTTTTAACCATTATTTATTCCCATTTAACTCTCTAAAAGTTGGTGGATTGTGTTGAAAGGTTGATATCAGATTGTCTGCTGCTAGTGATCATTTTTATTCATTCAACCATTCATCCATCCATCCATTCATCCATCCACCTTATTTATAAATGTTTATCATTGTTAATGCTTCTTAAAATTATTTTCTAATAATTCATTCAAATTTTATTTCAATAAAACGTTGAAAATCAACTCTGCCTATTCATTTTTTACCATGGTATTATAAATTATTATATAAAATAAAAATTATAAAATAAATTTAAGTAATTTTGAAAGATTACCATCAAATAGTAATTAATGTGCCTGCATTACAACACATGCAAGCCTGTACCTTTGCACTACATACATTGGTCGACAGCCCATGGACTAGCGCAATCACTGTGACAAAAAATATCAGCAGTGAATCAAATTTTATCCGCAACTTCCAACAATAATTATTTAAATTAATTATGTTGCTATCAGTGGTGGATCTAGGGGTTCCCGTTGTGAGCGTTATTTGTGTTCTATTATTATTATTATTATGCTGGTAATAATTACAACAAAAACAACAATAATAATAATAATGAAAAATGGCAATAACAAAATGTACCAAAAAAAATTTAATTAATAATTACTCCAAAAGTGCAATTAAAACTCTGGGGACGCAGTAAAACACAGCTTAAAGAAAACATTTTCTTAAAAAACAATTGCAAATATGACGACGCAAACCGAGGTGTTACCAACGAGGGGACATTGGGTACAACCCTCCCCACAATGATTTTTTGTGATAAAAAGATTAAAAGGCATAAAACTAAACAGTATTAACAATGGCAATAATAGTTAAAACATTAATTATTTTTGTTAGTATTGTGATAATAACAGCAGCTTGAATAAATAATGAAAAGAAGAATAAAAATAATTTATTTAATTCAAAAATGTCCGACATAACCCTGCAGACGATACTATAAATTAAATTGTCAGAGGGAAACTGGCTTCAAAGACGAGAAATTATATATGATATATATATATGAAGAACGGTGCGCAAATTATTATGTATATAAATATATATAAAAATTATATGTATGTATGTATATGTGTGTGTTGGTCTAGGGTATGTGCATGCAGTTGAAACAACCGAGGACGGGAAACAAAGTCATAAAAGCCAAATACATTAAGCAGTCAATAAAAAAAATGTTATTAATTGTTGACATTTTAAAAGTTAAAATTGATAATTGGCTGATTTAGCTGACTTCCATTTTCAATTAACAAAAAGATGAAACAAATTCGATTTACGTTTTTCAATACTAAATTAAGATGATTCTAATTTCAGTAAACTTGAGAGAATAATAAAAACCACGGAATGCTAACCAGTTGATTCCTTTGGCAAAAGAAGAATGAACTCCCTTGAGATACAAACCGTTGAGACAGGCTTCAAAGCAATTTTTATGCCACCATGCACCTTGGAATGACTGCGCACAATTGTAGTTGACTAAATCGTGATCTTTGTCGTACGTTGTGAATGCCATGCCGTTGTTAAAAGTCATTGAGTTCCCTGATAAAAATGTATTTAAAAAGTATAAACGTATTAATTAATTTCGAATACTTTAAATTAAGTTTTGTAAACTCTGAATGACCAGCTGTTCCATTGTAGTTTCCAATGTTCAGAACGTAGTAAGTATCTGGCGAGCCAACACTGAATGAATCATAAGCTGCACATGCCACCTTCCCTTCGAAATCCTCCAACACGAACAAAACTTTGTACTTTTGGTTGGACGTTATGCGGTATATGTTGTCGTTTCCTGGTTGAAAAGTTTTTATGCAATTCACGTTTGAGTGATTAAATGAAACTAACCGATCCAAAACTCTTTCCTCGGGTCACCAAATCCTCTTTCATAATCAGTCCAGTTTCTGTAAAAGTTCTCCGAGCCATCCATGCGACGCTGCATAACCTGGCGAGGTTAGGTTAGCAAAAAATATGAGATTTCATGATTTAATAGCAAACAACAAAACTATGATTAATTAAAAATTTTAGCTTGGCTCTGATTTTCAATATTTGTTTTAAATACAAATATTTTTAATTAAACAGATAGATTCAACATAAAGCGGACATGTCGAATATCCTCATACCTACCTCATAGATAGGCCTAACTTTTAAAAATAAAACTCACAAAATATCTGTTCTTCGTAGAATATTCCGAACAAAACGATGGATTTCTCGGATGCAAACCTGATGCAATGTTTCACATTACAGTCGTTGTAACTAAATTACTCAGTAGACACGTTTAAAAGATGGTTGCCAAAAATTCCAAATAAATTAATCATCAAAATATCTTATAAATGCATAACTGTTAGCTAATTTTATGCCTATTGAAATAAATATTTCAATAAAAATATTCTAACATTATCATATTTAGATTTCCTTAGTAGTATTACCAGCGACTTAAAAGTGTTTAAAATGAAAATAGATTGTCAAGCAAATAAAAGTGGATAATAATGTTTTGCATTTCAGCTAGATTATTCAAAGGTTGTCTCCATAAAAACTTTTACAGTTAACTAATTTTGACGTTTTACTGCAAGACTAAATAGCCAGAAGAAGGAACACATTCCATTAAGCAAATCTTATTTTATAAATGCGTTAGTTATGAGAAAATTAAAAAAAATTAAGATTTGGTAGTTCAATCAAGAAAACAATATTAATGAAATAAAATAAAATAACAACAGACATACTTGGCAAGTAGTTAGCAAGTTCGTCCAAGTCGGACAGATTCTAAAACGTACAAGTAAAAACTTGTATAACTAAATTTTTTACAAAGTTTGTTCTTCAGATTTTTAATTTTAAAATATACTAAATATAGCTTACAAAACATTAACTCACCCCATAAAAGACGCAGAGATCCTCGGAGAGATAAAGTTGAGGAGTGTAGGAGAAGAACTGACAAAGTACATTTTCAGCCGAGTTAGTTTTGTTCCATCTGAAGTTGAAACCAACACATTGAGCAGTAGTTTGACACATCCAAGCACACTCCATCAACATCTTGGTAGCATCGTTGGTGCTGCTTTGCAATGTTATGTTCTCTACAGAGGTTGGTGCAGATTGCGCTGACACGCCGCAGAGACTGCAGTTGGAACAACTTCTATTTGATGTCAGGTCGGTTGTCAGAGCAAGTAGGTTGCTTCGAGACCGAAAACATTTACCTTGCACCGCAACGATTGTTAAAAAATTCAGAATTAAGTAAACTTTTAACATATTTGGACTTCAGATGTAACTTGAGTCAGAAAAAATAATTTTCAACAATATCAAGAGTTTATAAATTCTACTTCTATTATATTCCTTTTCGTTTTACATTTATATTCTTTTTCTTTCTTTCTTTCTCTCCTCCTCTCTTTTTCACTCTTTATCTCTCTTTTACTCTCTCTTTCTATACTATATATACATTTATATATATAACATATAAAAAAGAAATGTATCCATATGTATTTTTACACACACACACCTAAAAAACTAAAAGATGAGCTAAAACTTAAACGTGTCGGAAAGGTAGTAGGATTTTTTCAATAAAGGTTTCGGACAAGAAAAGAAAGTGAGGAGTAAAAAAGAGAGGAAAGAAAGAATGAGAGATGAGGAATAATGAAAGAGACGGAAAGAGAGAGAGAGAGAAACAGGTGGTGAAACAAAGAAAAGCAGATTTAAAATGAAGTTTTGAAAATTTTGAATTTCAAAATTTCTTGCGATTGTCATTTTGTTCTCAGACTTTTTTTAAACCTCTAAAAAATTCAACATTTGAATATATGTAGACAAATATTTTTTCAAAAATTTTACATTTCATTGACACACTTAATGATTGCGCGGTTCGCTTGGTTCGTTACAATTAAAGATGCACTGCATCCGGCTAACAATCAAAATGAACTGCAATGATGTTATTAAGAAAACTGCTGTGATTACACGACTGTATTGATGTTATCAACATTAACATTACTGCTCTGATTAAACCAGTTTATTAAGAATGGATGAAATAATTTACCATTGTAGTGTTGTCCTGCCCATTTTGACTCAGCTAAAAATTACATTAATTAACATAATCATCATTTGAGTCGTAACATCATATTATATAATTATCATAGCTGCTGCTCCTACTACTACTACTACTACTACTACTACTACTACTACTACTACTACTTATAATACTACTAATTTTTTGATAATTATTTGTTTGTTTGTTGCCTTGATTATATGTTTGTTTGTCTGTTTTGTGTGTTGAAATTTAAACTTTACGTGTATGATTTAATTGTTGAAAAACAATTTAACACTCATACACACATTCATTCATTATTTAATCTTTGCTTTTCAATATAATCAGTAAAACAACTCGTTTCATTAAATTGAAATTTTATTTTCCACATGAAACAACAGACGGTTAGCTGGAATATTTTCTCAAGTAAATGCATCAAAATATATTCACTTGACAACAATTAACACATACATACATATATACATAAAGGCGTTTTTAAACAAATATGTATATTTTACAAAAATATATACACACTTATATACAGAAAGTACTATTTACACTTTACAAAGCACATACATAGAAACGTTTAAAACAAGTATTTACATGTCAAAAGTACATACATATATACATCGACTATGTTTTTTTAATTATTTATATATTTATACTTTACAAAAATATATACCTACACAGATATATACAGAAGGCACTATTTACACTCTACAAAGTACAGACATATATACATAGAAAAGTATTTACATGTCAAAAGTATATACATATATACATCGTGTATAGGAGCATATAAGCAAGCAGAAGCTGTTTGTACATATTTACAGCCAGTAGTTTCAAATGTACAGGGCCTGATCGGTGTTATCAGGCATCTTACTGATGGAAACTTCAAATTTCTCCTGCACTTCGTTCAAAATTTCAGCATCGCTTTTGTTGGCCAGGAATGTGACTGCCAATCCTTTCGTGTCGAACCTGCCGGCGCGGGCCACCCTGTGGAGATATGTGTCGGCATTTTCCGGCACGTCGTAGTTGATGACAACGTTGACCCGCTCTATGTCAATTCCTCTGCCGAATAAGTTCGTTGTCACCAAGATCCTACTTTCGAAGTTTTTAAACCGCTGGTAGAGTCTCAGTCTTTCGTTTTGCTTCATGGATCGATGTATCGCAGTTACTGGAAGGTTTTGCTCGTTAAGTAGCTCGCACAAAAAAATGCATCTGTGAACCGATTTCAGAAAGATGATGACTTGGTTATAATCCAGTGCATCCAACAGTTCTATTAGTTTTCTATTTTTTTGATGTTCATGCAGGCTGATAAAATGTTGTTGTAAGCCTTTGAGCGTCAACTGTTTTTCTTCAACATAGAACTCCACTGGATCGTTCATAAATTTTTTGCAGATGGCTTTAGTTTCGTCGGAAAATGTTGCCGAGAACATCATGACTTGTTTGTGGGGTGGAGTTCTAGAGAAGATTTCCTGGATATCTTTCCTCATATCTAACTGGTTCAACATTTTGTCGCATTCATCTACGACAAACTGATGTAAATGCTTCAAATGTAAATGGCGACTCCTTACCAGGGTCAATATTCTGCCTGGCGTACCGACGACGATGTGAGGACGTTTCTGTTTCGATGTCTCCTCATCTTTGGAAATCGATCTCCCTCCTATGAAAACAGCTGTCCGTACGTTTTTCATGTGTTTGCTGAATCGTTCGTACTCTTTGCTAATTTGAAATGCTAGTTCTCTGGTGTGACAGATCACCAGAACTCTTACTCTACTGTCTTCCACTTCCAGCTGCTGTAGAGTTGCCAAGACAAAGATAGCTGTTTTGCCTGTGCCTGACTTTCCTTGGCAAACGACATCCAGGCCAAGAATAGCTTGAGGTATACTTTCCAGTTGAATCTCCGATGGATGTTCAAATCCACAATCGCTGATTGCGCAAAGGAGTTCTGGTTTCAGTAGGAAGTCTCTGAATCCAGAACTGTGGACGGAGACATGGTTGCCGTTGTCATGATGTTTGGCGTTTTCGAATATTTCAACCTGCTCTTCGAAATCGTCAAAGTCGCAAAGATTTTCAACATCGATCACATTGGCAGACATTTTTATATGTAATTTGAATAATAAACTGGTAGAAGAAAGAATTAATCAATATAAAATGATAATAGTTTTTAGGTAATAGATTTATAATTATTGGATGAGTGTGAAATAATAGTCTGGTGGTGTTTAATAAATTTCAAAATTTCGTATAACTTTCGTATAAATTTTGTACGAAAAATTTATTTAACGTAAGATTCTAGATAGTAAGATGATTGCGAGCGTACGGTATGAAGTTTTAAAATTTGTGATGCTTAGTGAACAACAATCTCCAATATATAGGCTTCTAACAAAGAGAAAAAGTTTGTGACACAAGCGCCAAAATTTCGTTGATTGGTTACTTTGCTAACAAAAGCTTCCCAAAGTTAAATTATCTCTTAACTTTATTGCTATAAAGTGATTTTACTATTGATCTTACTTAAAAAAGATAATTAAACATAATTAAGTTGCGGCGGTTAATTGATTTGACGGCAAAGGTTTATGTCATTTTGATTACTACTTTATCGTTAATTAATGATCGTTTGTCTCATTTTGATTGGTTGTTCATGCTATTGTTATTAAATGGTTATGTGATGTTATTTAATCTGCTCTTTGAAGTTAGGACAAATTTGAATTCAAATAATTCACTGTAATTAGAATTTATTCATTAATAATTTTTAATATAATTAATATCGTAATTCTTGTTACTATTATCGTTATTATTGTTTTCATCGTGTTTGTTGTTTTTATAACTTTACTCTACTAATTGGCACCAATATACTTACAGAATAAAATGAATACTGACAAGTCTGACGCAATGCGATTTTTAAAACATGACACTGCTGACATCAGCTCTGCTTGTGGGCAGTGGTCTGTTTGTAATTGACTTTGGTAAAGTAGGAGGAAACATTCATGGACGTCAACGCATTCGACAACGGCTTTATTGACGTGTTGGATATTGCTGTCGAAAACCAGATAGTTAGAAATTTGTCTTGTTTGAGTGGCTTTGGTTGAGTGTTGCTTCTAAATTCAACGTTCACAAAAATTACAAATACTACTGCTACTACTACTTCTACTACTACTACTACCACTATTACAACTTCACACAGACTACAAAAGTTCCAAAAGTACTACAACAACAACAACAACAACTACTACTACTACTACTACTACTACTACTACTACTACTTCTACTACTACTACTACTACTACTACTACTACTACTACTACTACTACTACTACTACTACTACTACTACTACTACTACTACTACTACTACTACTTACTACTACTACTACTACCACTATTACAACTTCACACAGATTACAAAAGTTCCAAAAGTTCGATCGTCCAAACTTGATTAGAAAGAAGGTACAGGTAAGTACGTCTCATTAAAAAAAGAGTATGTGAAATTTTTAAAATTATTTCTTAGCTAATTTTTTTAACAATGAGTTGATTATTTTAATGAAAATAACTTGTATGGCTTGTGTGTGTTTATGATGTTAACGTGTTTTTACTGCATGCATTGTGTATTGTACTGCATACAAATTAATTAAACAAATTAAAAATTCAATTTAAAAAATATTTTTCCTCGGTAATTTCTTGAAGAATAATAATAAGAATAAACTTTTGAAAAATAAAAAAATCACAATAATTCTTTAGCCACTACATATAATTAGAATAAATATAACGGCCTTGGCTCATTTTTGACGGTCGAATAAGGAGCTTACTTCCGGAGGGAAATTGGAGGGTGATTTTTTATCGCCCAAGTGAAAAGTTACGATCGCATTATAAGTTATAATAGTCTATAAAATAAAATATATGTAATTGTAAAACAAAATAGTTCTATTCAATGAGTATAGGGATATTGTCAATAATTAAAAAAAATTTCAAATCGATTTCATTGTGATATCGATAATGATTTTTGTAACCTGACTGATTAAAAAGTATCAAAGAAAGTTAAAATAGGATGGAGAATTTGTTATATTGGGATATACGTTTAAAAAGCGTGCAAAATTTTAAATAAAGCGCTTATAAATTTATGCATATTGGCTCAGCTTGACTTGGCTCGGCATGGAATCGGATGTTAAGCAAGGTGTGGTCTTAAACTATTTTGAATTTTCCCCGAAAAGTTTGAACTGCGTGCGTACATATATAGTAATGGCTACTGTTGTTTTTTATAATGAATTTATAAAATATATAAATATAGCGAGCAAAATATTAACATAAAAGCGCTTATAAATCTATGCATATTGGCTCAGCTTGGCTTGGCTCGGCTTGGAATCGGATGTTAAGCAAGGTGTGGTTTCAAACTATTTTGAATTTTCCCCGAAAAATTTGAACTGCGTGCGTACATATATTATAATGGCTACTGTTGGTTTTTATAATGAATTTATAAAATATATAAATATAGCGAGCAAAATATTAACATAAAAGCGCTTATAAATCTATGCATATTGGCTCAGCTTGGCTTGGCTCGGCTTGGAATCGGATGTTAAGCAAGGTCTGGTTTCAAACTATTTTGAATTTTCCCCGAAAAATTTGAACTGCGTGCGTACATATATAGTATCGAGGTTTTCGGCCCGATAGACCCCAATACCCTTAAATTTTTTAAGGCAATATGTAAAATGATCAGCGTCAGATCAGGCGACAGCAGGGAACTGTTTTTCGCAACTAACCACATTTCGTGCTTGTTCCAGCGGTTCCTGCGTGTCTGTGTGCTTGAAAATATCCAACTGAATGCCGACATGTGCAATTAACGACAAATCAAAGTGTTAATCCATTTGTTACTTGATGTTTGACGGTTCAGTGTCACTCATCATGTTTTGGTTTTAACATACATATATAGTAATGGCTACTGTTGTTTTTTTTATAATGAATTTATAAAATATATAAATATAGCGAGCGAAATATTAACATAAAAGCGCTTTGAAATCTATGCATATTGGCTCAGCTTGGCTTGGCTCGGCTTGGAATCGGATGTTAAGCAAGGTGTGGTCTCAAACAATTTTGAATTCTCCCCGAAAAATTTGAACTGCGTGCTTACATATATAGCACTGATTACTGTTGCTTTTATAATGAATTTTTATTATATATATATAAAGTGATTGGAATCCATGTATACAAATAATTAAATTATATTATATTAGATTATATGTTTATATGAAAAGCAATATAGCAGAAAGTTTCGAAGGCGTACGTTCGATGACTTCAATTTAGTACGGTTAGCATTGTGGTTAAGACTGTATAATAGTGCAGTATATACATTAAACAAGTTTTTTACTGATGCGAATGATTGAAATGATGAGAATGTATGGTTGAAACGAGTATAAATAGAGGAGCTGAGACAACATGAAAATCAGATCAGCATTCTACCTCGCTTGAAGCAGTCTGTCTGATCTCATTTATTTTATTTTTAAAATTTTTTTATTTTTATTTATTTTATTATATAGAGTTATATAGAGTTATATAGTGTTATATAGAGTTATATAGAGTTTGCATGTTTGTAGGTGGTTTGAATGTTTGTAGGTGGTATTTTTTTAATTTTAGGTGGGTTCTTTAACGGTTGCTCATACATACATACATACATACATCATGTTTGTTTGTGTGGTAGTATTTTATGTTTTGTTTTACTCCTTTTTCTCTTTCTTCATGAGTCTTGAGTTAAGTTAATAAAGCATAGGTAGGTGAGGTAAAAAATAATTTATTATATAGGTAGGCTAGGGCATAAGGTAATTTAGTTACATAGGTAGGTTAGGGACTCCTATTCTTTTACTCTACTTGGTGGTGTGATTTTTGTTTTGTGTTTTTTTTGTTTTGTTTCACATTATACATTCAGCAGGTACGCGGTGGTTCCTGGTTTTAGTGGGATTTTTATTGATTG